AACAAAAGTACGAAATATGTGAATGTATATTAAGTTTGGAATGCGTATGAGGATAATATTGATAACACATGCCCATTAAGATTGTGCACACATGAAAAGACCCATGACAATTTTAAAGATGTTAAACAATCAAAGCCCATCACATTTTTGACCAAACATTTGTTATATTATAATGAAATCCCAACACTTTATCAATTATATAGAACAAACTAATGGTACGCCAATAAACCGATGAATTAATTAAACATAAAATATAAATGTATATCTAAAATGGGTCAAATTCATTCACAATTTCAAAAATGATACACCATCAAAGCCCACAACCTTAGCAATTATAGAGTGTAAATTATGGTAATGGCCCAAAAAATCTAATTGTTAAGAAAACTGTAAATTTAAGTGTTGACAAAGTATGTCCTTTATTTTTGGCAAATACAAGAATACAAGATAATATCATTTCATATAATACCGTATATATAATAATGATAAAATTAATCTAGTTAATAACTTAATTTTCATATTTCTATCACACGATTCGTTATAAATTATTAACGATTATTGATAAATATCTAAGCAGATAGTCATATAGATATGAAAATAAAATATGTTACGAAAATACATAACAACCATTGTAAAAAAACAAAACCAAAATTAATAAGTTCAAGATATTAGATTCATTACATAAATGTAAATAGGATGACATATCTCCTTTGAATGAAAATGTGCTATAATTTAGACCGGTTTCATCTGCACATCTTAATTTCCTGGTTTGATATTTGATTTCTTGTCGGCCAGAACGAAGCTGTTGATATAAATATGTCTAGTTAGCAACTATAAATTATGATTTCATTTAACAATAAAGATAACACGGCTTATATGTATGCAAACTCTTGAACTTCAGTAATCTCTGGGTTGAAAAGAAATCGAGACTGACTCTTCCGTTTCTGACAATGTGTTCACCTACAAAGAAAAATATAATTTAGCATTTGACACTATTATATACTTTGGTAGAAGTTCAGTTACCAAATTCAATAATAATATACATGGGGTATCTAACCTTTATAGACACCAAGTCTCCATTCAGTTAACAGAACGAAAATACGATCAGTCTTTCTCGATTTCCAGGCATTATCGAAACAAATTGAGCAGTTATCAAACGCAAAACATTTGATAACAGCATCCCTATATAAAAAAGTAAACATAACAACAATGAATAATACTTATATAAAATTAATTAGCATAACATATAGAAATATACTTACTCGAGGTCTCTTATATGAAATTCAAGAAATTTGTTTGGCTGGATTCTTGAAATGGAGTCAAAGTCATTGCCCATGGATATTTCACCAACAAAATCGATCACACCAACCAAGTCTATTTTATAAAAAAAAAGAATGGAAGTTAAACTAACATTATGATTCCCTAACAAATAATAGACTAAATATTATTAAAAACAATGAAATTAAATAAATCAATAAAGAAACTAAATTATTACCAACAGGAAACGCAGGCTCCATTTTTCTCTTCACAATATCTTCGAATTTGATAAAATTCAAGAAATACCAATTAGATACCGGCTCTCGTATAAAGTCAAGCGTAGTATCTCTAGTAAGAACGATATTGTAAGGATGTTTAGTTGGGCGTTCGTTCCAATTGTTCCAGTCTGAAGATGTGACAATAAAATTGCGAATTTCAAACCATTCTCCTTCGTGACATTCATTCTTGAAATATTCATGGATCCAGTTATGAGCAGACGCATGAATTTTGCAGCCCTATAAAACAACAGATTGTAAAATATTGCCAAACTATTAAGGCAAATTTTTTACGGACATCACCAAAAATTCATCTAGCGTAATATATCAACTTATTTACCTCTTCGTCGGCATATATGAATTCGACACGATCCCGACCACTGCTGTCTTTCTCAATCCATTTCTTGTAAATAACAACATGTATCACCGAATTTTCTTCCCATGGTGTGAGCTGACTAACTAAATCATGGTAAGACATAATTCGAAAAGTTCTTGTTTTGATAAAAAAAAAAAAATTAAAGCCACGGGTTAGGGTTCAGTTATTAACTCATCTTCATTCTTTCACAATCACGATTTCAAGTAAACGAGTCAGTCATTCTTCTTTGCCTCTTGGATTCTTCTCACAAACAGTGGTTGACTGACTAGTCTCCACAACTTTATCTCCATTCACAAGTTTATCTTCACTCATCTTTTGTATAGCTTGTGTAATCCATTTTAATATATTTTTTCCATTTTTAACATATATGATAATATTATTTTTTAAATGACGTCACAAGATGACGTAAAATGTCATTACGTCATCAATCAAGAGAAGACGATAAAGAGACAATAATAGCCATATGTAATAAGTGTCATGTTTTTTATTTATTTTTAAATGACGTATATATGTTGCAATTTAGAAGGAGAACCATATAATTTAGAAGGATAACTTTTTTAGTGTCTCGTTCTTTCTTTCTTTGTTCTTTTTGTTGCTAGATGTGTCTCGCTCTTTCCATAATATTATTGACATAATGACGTACTTTAACAAAATCTTTTTTTTTAAATGTTGCATTTTGATGGTCTCACAAATCTTATCTAATGTCTAAATCTTATCTAAATCATATATATACCTAATGTATCTGTTTCCAGGAATAAATCATATGATTGTCTTTCTTTAAAAACAAAAAAAAATCATATGATTGTTGTCTTTCGATAGAACCAAATCAGCGGAGACTAGTGTATTTTGTGACTCTAAAGTTGTCTTCCTCAAACCACAAATTTAGACAATGAATGAAAGAAAGGTTCAGTCAAGTTTCACAGTGAACATACTTTTCAATTTTTCATTAGATTCACTTGAAGCTTTACGTTTGGTTTATGTTAGATATAATCTTTTAATCGCATTTTAAAACATATGAAATTCTACGCTTGCTATTGTTGTTGAAAATATAGATTTTTTTTTTTAGTGAGAAGTAAACCTTATGATAAAGAAAAGAATCTTCAAAATTAAGTGTTCTTATGTTTCTCTCCTCTTCTCCACCTTCGATCGTCTTCCCTAGCTATCGTAATGTCAGGTTTTGGTTGGTAATATTTTTTTCTTTTTGGTTAAAATTTTGGTTAGTAATGTTGATTTGCCATATTACAATGTCTATTGCTTCCTCTGTAACCATTCGGCACAACGATTAAGAGATGGTGTCAAGAATTTTTCTCCAGCGTCTTATTCTCAAAATGTGGAGTTACTATAAAAAAAAATATACAATATTTTATTTTTTATGATTAAAAAATATAAAATAGACCAATAGCGTTGAAAAAATCAAATGAATTGAATATTTAGTTGTGTATTTAAATGAAATTATATATTTAAAATCAACTGAATTTTCAAAACTAGAGGTCATTAGATCGAGTGGCTCTTGAGACAAGACTGTATAACATATTCTGATTCCAGATCTAAGACCAGATCTAGTAGTGGTCCGTTGGACGGATTTGGCTCGAGTTCATAGGCGAAATGGATTTAAAAAAAAAAAAAAAAGTCCAAAATCGACGGATCGGTCCGTCCGGAAGAGGTTGATGAACCCACATCCCAGACACGTGGCGAAGCGTGAGAGGAGGAATTTTCGCGTCAATTTTGGGGAAGGGAAAAAATTTTTGCCCAAAAATTCATTTCTCCGTCGCGAGTTTTTTTTATTTTCTCTCTTCCTCTCCTACGACGATTCTCGTCGCCTCCGTCAAATCCGTCGAAACCGTCGATTTTTGCCGGTGTAGTGGACAACCGAGGGTCGGGCTTTCGTGATTATTGCCGAGGTAAGCGTTTCTTCTCTTCCTTTTGCCCGATTTCATTCGATATAGGGAAATTAGGGTTTTGGTTTTCATGGCGAAAAATTTGAAGTCTGTAATCGGTGGTTTAGGTTGGGTTATTAGTGTCGATTTCGAGTCATTTCACCTCATTGAAACACGAAAACGAATTGAAGTTAATATTTTGGGAGATTTGAATGGAAATTGAAATCGGTGAAATTAGGGTCATATGAAAAGGGGAAAAAATTTGGGGCTTTCATTTGGGATTGTAATTGGGGTGTAATACAATGAAAGTAAACCGTTTTCACTTGCTTTCGAATACGAATTCATGTTATACTGTCTTTCGGTTAATTGTTTTCACTTGACATTGCCTTTTTTAGTTAGTTATTCCATAATATCGATTGTAAAGTGGTCGTTATTTTTTTGTTACAGATAATGCCAAGCTATAGCAGCGAATCATCTGAGGAAATCCCGTACTGGACTTACGCGGATGCCACATACGGCATACCGGAGAAATGCTTCTGCGGGCGGGTTGTGAAGTTGAAAGCAAACGCAGCTGGTCGCAGGTACTATGCCTGCCCGGAATGGGTCAACGAGGTATTCATTAAGTTTGTATTGGTTTGTTAAAAGATCATTCGGTTTGTAATGTGTAGTTTAAGTTCTTGCTAACGGTTTGTCATGAATGTAGGGAACGTTTGATCACATCCACCAATGGTGGGATGACGGAGTCACCGAACAGTTTGAGATCCTCGCGAGCAGGATAGAGCAGCAGATAAATTCCAAAAATAAGTGATGTTTTATTTTATTTATAAATAAGTGATGTTTTATTTTATTTATAAAAAAAATTCCAAAAAAAAATATTAATATAATATTACGGATGAACCCCATAAACGAATTCATTACTGGAACCTCAACCATAACCTTAGTTCATTACAAAAACGAAAAAAACTTATATATTATTTTAGTCGGATAAACCCAATAATGAGGTTCACTACTGCACATGCTCTAAGGGATCTATAGAACTATGCCTAGAACCTTTTGGTTATTAAAAAAAAAAATTACTAGAAAAAAGTATATTTATAATTTTTATTATTAAAAAGTGCCAAACGGACCAACGAAACTCTTGTGCTATGGGTATATGATTTTACACCCCAATTTTATGAAGAAACCTGATTTCTCAAGTAAAGAATCTCCCCTTTGGAATTTGCAAACTCCCTCCCCTCAAATCTTTTCACAGTCTTCACAACACACACATACATTTATTTTCAATTAAATACACACCATCTCTATATTCACCACTCTCTTCCAATCTCTAGCCTCATTTCGTTAGGCCAGGATTCAGACAAAGCTCATACTCACAAGCCAATTCGGCCTGCAAGGAACCATGGAACTCACCACCCCACCACCTTCTTAAACCAGTCGTTGCGGGATCTTAAAACCCCGCGAAAACGAAGATAAAATTTTACGAGAAAGAATGTTCAATCTTGGTGTGTAGAGTAACAACAAGGTCATGTGCATCATCCAATAGCTTCCACACATCTAATTGCCCTGTCATACTATGACACTCCCTTAGAATCTCATCCATGCTGTTATACTTTTCTATTATAAGTTTCCTTCTCTGCAACACCGATGCAGCTATTGCATAGAGCACTAAATCATCCGTGGGAGGTGCACGCTGCCTTATCCTGCTCCAAGCAGATTTCCCCATCCCGGCTCTGATGGCTGCTTGATCTGCCCACATCACTTCCCATAGACAAAACGTCTGGTCTAGTGTCAGCTCTCGTCTGAACATCACAACAACCATTCTGTACACAAAGAAACAGTCCTCTGCTTGGAGTTTCTCCAGGTGTCGGTAAAGCTGCGAGTCTTTGGATTTGATTATCTTCGAGACTATGTTGAGCTGTCTCCTGATTCCAACCTCGTCGAGCCTGAAGTTGTGACGAGCTTTCTTCATGAACCCGACAAAGCACCAAAACGCTTCGTGGTCATCAGGGATTACAGAGAGTATTGGAGAGAGAAGATCGCTCATTCCTTGACAGTAACCAATGTCGGAGTCATATAAAGCGTAGGCTTCAAGAACAGCTACGAGCCGTGCAGCTTGAAAGATCTTGTACGGTTCCAAGTGATTGTAGTCTTTTAACCCTACCGCTTCAGCTGCACGACATGCTCTGTCCTCGGATATAACCGCTTGGGATGGTGAATACGGAGTCCACTCTGAGTTAGCACGCACTGCATCTAGACGGATAATACGCTGCCACGTCACAAAATCCTCTTCTGTTCGTGCGATAGTTGAGCTCGCCGGATAAGTATTGTTCACATCCGGTGTACCAGAAGACTGAAAGACTTGTACCACTTCACTCTCATCTGACGAATCTGAATCTGATGACTCGGAATTGAGTGTAGAGATGGTAGCGTTGGTGATTCGTCTTGAGCTGCTGCCATTTCTCTCAACTGTACATGAAACTTCACTCATGTACCCGATGTCTTCAGTGATGATGTCTTCGTCGCTAGAGAGTGACTCGCGGGCACTGACAACTTCGTCAGAACATGAACTGTCGCTGTCTTGGACTTGAGGCCAATCGTACTCATCTTGCATAGTTTCACTGACTCTGTTTACCCTGAGTGTCCCTGTATTGTGTTTTTGAAGCCGCTTGCACTGTCTGCGTAGTCTCTCATACTCTTTCCTGCATTTGTAGAATCAAAACAGATGAGCTAGAGAAAAACAAAACAAAAAAAATAGAGCAAAAGTTAGAAACTTTCCCCAATCAGCCTCTCTCACTCACCTTCTCCGGGTTCTTATAGTAACTCTCTCTTCTTTGGAACTATTAAAACCGTACCTGTTTGTAGAAAAGTGTATATTAGCTTCAAAACTTCTCGCTTTCCTCTAATTAAAACTACTCTTTTTCATAGATCCCATTGTTGCAATATGCTTCTGTACTTAAATAGAATTTTTTGACTGATACACTTACACTCCAAGAAGGAAAGGCCACACCTCTAATCGAATGCTCGGCTCAATACCCTACAAGGAAATAAGAAAAAAAAAACATTCTTTATAATCAACAACACACAAATGGTTGTGATTGTGAGTGAAAGTGGATCCATTAGGCTGTGACTCACTCTACTTCGGACTTTCTTCAACAAATCAACTCCTCCATTACGAAGTCTACCATCGGGCGAGAAAAACCTCTTCCACTGCTGAGGCCTGAGTGGCTTCTTTCTTTTCTTCCGGGACCATGGTGATTTGAGACGAGCCCTGAGAAACAGAGGTTAAAAAAAATGTGCTTACTTGTAGATATCCAGAAGTAGCCATGGAGCTTTAAATGCAACTGACCAGCTAAATCAGATGGAAATAACCAAACAAATGTCAATAATTTTATCCACTTATACTAAAAATACTCATAAGCAAAAAAAACTAGAGCTTGGATTCAATTTCAGCAAATGGAAAATCCATTATTTATCAAAACAATTGATGATTGGCTACGAAAGGATTAAAAGGCTTCCACGAATCACATTCATGTGGAGGACACGAAGTCAATCTAAAATCGAGATCTTGTGATCTAATTCAATAGGATTACCATATAGCCAAAAAACATTAAAAATGAAGAAGGTACAGAGATTGAGAGAGATTGAGAGAGAGAGAGATCTAAGAGACTCACCGATCCGAAGAAGAACAAGACGATGGAGAAGAAGATGCAACAACGAAGAGAGCAGAACGCAAATGGATCCACGAAGATGAAGAGGAAGAAGGAGGAGATGATAATGGCGATGAAGGATTAGAAGACGAAGACGTCGTTTGAATTCGTCTCAGAGCTTTCATCTAATTAATACCCAAATCAAAAAAAAATTCCAAACTCTCTCTTCCTCCTCCAGAGTAAAACCTAATCAAACTCCAGAAACACGATTCACCAACCGCGAATATTCCTTCGAATCAACTCAAGCAACCTTGAAGCAGAGAAGAACTTCAAAAACTCCGGCGCGGTAAAAAAATACAGAACAACTATCTCCGCCGGAGAAGAAAGGACATCCACCGTCACAACAACTCTCCGACTCCGTTTTCGCCGGAGACTGATAAAGTAAATCGGAAAAAACAAATAATTTCCTGCCGCGTTTCGTCTTCCACCACTTGCTTCGTCTTCGTCTTCTCCTCGTTTACTTTTGCTTTGGCTCTATTTTCTCTCTCTCTCTCTCTCTCTCTCTCTCTTAGAAACGTGGGCTTATTTGGAATTTCAGTCTCTTCAGAATCTATTGAAAACAAAAAATTAAAGTCTCTTCCGAGTAATGCGACTGGAGGCTTATTGTGACTTTTAGGTTTCTCTCTCTTTATGGACCCACGAACTCAGAAATCTGCAATTTACACTTTTATCTCTCTTTATTTCATTAATTATCTATTTGCCCTGTAATACCATCTTATTACGTTCTGTCTGTTTTTTTACTTTTAGTCTCTTTAGCCTCGATTCTTTTACTCTATATATATTTGCCCCTTACTTTTCATCTTTACATTATTTCTAGGCTTGTCCATATCCGGTTTGAATTACCCGATCGTAACTATCTTAAGAAATATGATATGATAACTTTTCCAAATTATCCGTTTAGGAGTATTTATTCTTCTTTGTGAGTTAAGAAATGAAATTAATATAGTTGACTTTTAAAATTTGATCTGTTTACATTTTTATTAATACTATGTGAATATCCGCACGTGCAGGTTTTTCTTTTCAATTTTTTTCAAATTTTTTTTTTATAATTTTATAAAAATTAATATAGTCATTTGTTACTTACTTATTTGTTAATATTGTATTCTAAAAATTTTAAAATATTAATTTAAAATACATATTGAATATTATTTAATAATTTAAAGTTATATTAAAATTAATAAGTATCATTCAATATTTTTAATTAGTTATAACATAAATTTTTGTTTAACATTTACTGAAATATTAATTAACAATTAATTAATAAAAAATTAAAATAAATATAATCATCATTTCATTTGTTACTTGTTAATATTTTATTATAAATAATCTTAAAAAGTAATTTAAAATACATCTGGAATATTGTTAAGTAATATACAATTATATAAAAATTAAATACATATTAATTAATATTTTTAATCAGTTATAACATAAATGTTTGTTTAACATTAATATAAATGTTAATTATGAGTCAATTAATAAAACAAACTTTTCATATTCTTTAAGAACTTTATAATTTAATATTAAAATTTATTAATTAAAATTTAAATGACATGTGTCAACCTCTCTAATGCTGATGTGTCTTATGGAGAAAGTTGAACAACTTTGATTATATCTTAAAACGTTAAAACAAAAGAAAAGTTTGAAACGATACTTTATTTTGAACAAAATGGAAAAAATATACAATTTTTACTTTGAATGAAATGTCGTATGTTAAGTACGAGGGGTTACATATTTGGTAACACCACCTTAAAAATTATCAACCACAGTGTTAATCCTTTTTAACTATTTTTTTATAGATTGGAAACGATTTGAATAATGATTGATGGTTCCCGAAATAATTCCCATGTTTTCAACCGACCAAATCAAGCACATGGAAAAAGCATAATTCTATTTCATAATATACATTTTATATTACGTATTGTTGTTTTGGAATCGAGGTACATAGCCCGATAGCCATTTTGTTATTGTACGTTGTATAATTTGTTAAAACGAAATAAATAAGACAATCATAGATGTAAATAAAGAATTAGTTATCATTAAAATCTATGGACGACACTGATTAAATCGGTACCACGCTATGATTATAATTAAACATGATGATTCTTCATATAAAAAAATGGCTGTATGTCTCCCATTCTTATTTTATTTCTCATTAACTATTTTTTTTTTGTCTTGTTCAATCGAAAAGTTAATGCTATATATGAACTAATACATATCAAATGAAAAACAATTTTTTTATTAAGCTTAACGGTTTTACCCGTTGATCACTTGAATTAGGTTTGAGAATATCCCCCAGATGCAAAATATCACAAATTATTAGTTTGTTCCGGTGTTGGATCCGGATACATTTCGTTTATTTATTTATTTTCTTTGGGGTTCTGGAAGAAATATTGTAGCCAAAATGACATTCAAAACTGAAACTAGAATAGATCAACTCTATGTTCTTTCATTATTTACTATGCTACCACATCTTCGGTTTCATCTCGTTATCACTATTGCTGCCTATGCTCTGGTTTCATATGATTTCTCAACTTTCCTCTAATAGTGGTCTCCTACTCCAATTGACTATGTAACTTCGTCTCTCTATCTATCGTATATAATCAGAAAAAAAGGAGTACTTCATAATTTTTCCTTAACCTACGATAAAATAATTTGAATCATTAGTTAATTTGGACTCATCTATTGTTTGCGAAAGTGTTCGGTCAGGTGGTATCCACATTTGCTCTGCTTTGGGGCGTGTATACTTATCCTCTATGAAGTTAAAAATGAATGTGCTTAAAAAGAATGATATATTGTTACTTTCTTATAAAAATATATTCAAACTTTCATTTCATTAATCTAAAAGGTACCGTAGTTATTTTATTAAGCAACAATTAGGTGATATCTATTACAAAAACCCATTAAAAATAGTTTTATAGAAAATATTATAAAGAAGAAACCTAAATTATAACTCAAGATCAGAACAGAGAATTTATAAAGATCAACGAATCGAACATTTAACAAAAGTTCATAAGATGCCATTTTTCTCGCATATTATTAAGGATTATGGAGGTAGTAGTCGTGAAGGTCTAGGGTAGTCTTTTACTTTATATATTCTGTAGCCCCCTTTAGTTCCTCATTTACCCTATGTTCATTTAGATATATCCGAGTGTATTGCGTATGCTTGTTATTTGTAAATCTCTCTAAACTTGGTTTGGAATTATATGATTCACAGATCATAGTTCTGTTAATCGTGAATATCCTTTATAAATTAAAACCATAAATTATAAGTTTCTAGCTTTTTGGAGAAGGAATAAAAGATAGGTAACCGAATGAATTTTTGTAAAACTAAAGCCAGAAACTACCACTCAGTACTCTTGTTTTTCTATAGTCGACCTACGTTTTTAGATTATGTTCTGTTGATTTAATACGTGTGACCTCTTCATCCATCTTTATCATTTGTATAATACTTTATTCTACATCTCATTCGTCATCCAACCGGCAAATGGATGTTGACATGTTTCTAAATTATAACCTCAAAATTATATTAAGCGTTTATTATCATTATCTTTTTAGGAGACATGAATCTGCAGAAATGCACTCAATTATACCACTTGTTCCATTCAGAAAAAATAAGCATCTATTGGAATTTTTCCCCAAGCTTGATTTTGCAATATATGTTTGCAATAAAATATCTCAGACTGTTACTTTTGTTATCTGCTAGGTAGATTACTAAAATTAAGCTTTTAGTTCGAATTTTACTTTTAACAATATTTGATGGATTTTTATGTAGAAATTATTTTGATGGTTTCAATCAGGTTCATGATTTTTATAACATACAATATAAAAGGAATCAGTCAACCTAAAATGATTCGATCATTCGATGATCAAAAACAAATTTTCATTTTATTGGGCAACTCCTTAATAGTTTTATCGTATATATCATAAGTTTTCTTCTGTCTCAATATCACAACAGCCATATATGTATGTATCTCCAATTCCGAGAAATTAATTATTGTTTTCTTGGACAGCCTCATTTCTCCACTGTAATAGAATCATTATAAAAAATAATAATTAAAATTCGAAATACATATTGTGGTGATTGATGGATTCAGTGTTGTGGATATGTTTTTTTCTCTTTCTTTTTTTTTTGATAAAATTGTCAACGTGGGTAGGTTTGTTTAATGGGAAAGATAAATACCAAAGCTAGATCCGTTGCTTTATACAAAGGGAAAGTAAAGTATAGATTTCCATTACACGGCACTTATTAATTGCTCAGTTTGAATAAAACAAATTGAGAATTTAGGGTTGCCCAATACACTAAATTTTGTTCTTTTGTAAACTAGAAAAAGAAAGAATATGCGAATTTTCTTTTGAATAAGCAAAATCGTATTGAGAATCTATGACTTTAATGAAGCCAGCCCTTACATCACTATACGTGAGAGTTACTCTACTAACGTTTGCGAAAGAAAAAATATTCATATGATAAGGGTTAATAAAATATTTTACTCACTACAAATAATTTTCTGATACAACAATTTTTATCACTGAAACTTTTCCCACTTAAAATGATTTGAAAATAATGAATAGCCAAAATTTCGAATCTGTTATATATTTTTTGAAGTTGAAATATCAACTATAGACGTCTCATCATTTGTAAATGCACAAAAAGACCAAAAATTTTCCACAACCGTTGAGTATACTATCGTGAATGAGAAAATATACAAAATGATTATAACTTCCAAAAACAAATATTGGGTTCCTTGACAAAGAAAGGCATGTTAACCAATATAAAAGTTTGTTGGAGAAGCTATAATAGGCATGTTACTTATTTTTGTTGTGTCATGTATCTTGTCAATTATTCGTGGTAAAATTAATATATATATATATATATATATATATATACGTATAATGTATCCATCATGTGAATTAGATTCGTGTTCTCACTTTTGTCTTCTCATGTCTTTCATGATGTGGACAATCATGGTGTTTGACATAATATGTCTATAATACTTGTTTCACTCTTAGTTATTTCACATATTATCTTCGATCTGAGAACAAAGAATACAAAAAAAATTCGTAGATGGGATTTATTTGTTTTCTTAATTTTTTTCCTAATTCAACATGTTGGTAATTATCCTCCACCAATTATTATGAAAAACAAGAGGATGGATAACCATATGATATGGTACACAAACATAACAAGTAATAGCACGATGCGGTTTACAAACGAACCAAACCAAACCGATTCAGTGAGACAAAAACATAAAGCCCTTCCCTTAAATCAAAGGATAGAGCACCAGCCATGAGGGAGTTTAGACGCAGCTGCTTGGTCAAGGAACCAGACCACTTCATCATCCGCGGTTAGTCTTCCGGCTGGTACGTCTTTGGTATGGTTAAGAGCAGCCTCAACCGAATCAGCTTGTTCTTTATCACACACGGCCATAACATTGTATGAAGCACAATTGATAACCGTTAAAGTAAAAGTGATCCTTTTTGATGGGGGTTTAGGAGAATCGGTTATGTATGTAACCCATTTCACTTTCTCATTGATCTGGTCATGTCCCGGGAATAGAGACGCCATGTGACCGTCCGGTCCCATTCCTAGAAGCTGGAGATCAAATTGTGGGAAACCGGAGGATTTGTATGTTCGGATTATGTTTTGGTTCACCTTATCTTTGAGGCACTCCTCGTACCGTTCGGCTGCAAGCTCGGCGTTGCCTTCAGCCCCGAGCCCGTTGTCGATGGCATAGATGTTCTCGGCCGGTATAGGAACCTGGATGTTAGGATTATAAATTTTCGTGAATGTTATTTTGATATTATATATCATTAGTTATAACAAAAAAAAAAAAATATCTATGTTGTGTAGATGTGAGTGTCATCTTGACTTAACGTTTTAGTGTGTGTTTTATAACAAGTAAACCAAATTATATTATCTTGGTTGATAACTTGATATCAATACTAGTAATGAAGAAAATCCCCAGCTCATGATTAAACAATGGAACACTCATTTAGCAGCTCTAATCATTTTTAAAGATAGGTTTTAGAATTTTAAAAGCAGAGATTTCCTTTGTTAAGTTGATGTTTTTTGCGTAGAATATATATGAATATATATACCTTGGAGAGAAACTCGTCGTAGGCGAGTTTGTAGTTGCTATCTGCATCATCCCAACCACAAACCCTCTCGTCCACCCAAAAGATGTGCCACTTGGACCACTCAATTGAATCAATATAAGGAGGTTCCAACAATTTCCTGTTGTATGAATCAAGCAAATAGAGAGTTGTATTATAGAAAAGAGTGATAAAGAGAGTTTTTGATTTGTATATATGTAAAATATGGAACCAGACCAGAGCCAGGAGATGAGGTCGCCGCCGGAGAAAACAACGGTGAAAATTCCTCTTTCTTTGCAGAATTTGGAGGAGAGATCCGCCGTGTATTTGGCCAGTTCCACCGCCATTTCTTTCTTTGTCTTAAACACCCTCCTCTTCACCGGCGCCATCTGCTTAGATGATGATGATTGTGATGATGATTGTGAATTGTGTTGATGATGGCGTTATACAAGTGAAGGAATCTGGCTTCTTATAGGGAAAGTGAGTGAAGAGTTCTTAACTAATTGGGTAATGACTCAAGTGAGACAAATTATCTTTTTCTTTTGCTTAAAAAACATTTGTACTTGGATAAACAAATGGATGTTATTACAAAAGTAAAGTACATATTCTTGAAATAATATACAACCTTTCTTTGTTTGTATAGTTCATTTTCTGTCAAAACAAAAGAAAAAGTTTATTCGGTTACAACTTACAACCTTATTATTATTCCGTCTATCTCCATTACTTCTAAGTTCTAACATCTTTCCTTGTAATAGACATGATATATTGGTGCCATCCAATCAAATAACCTATTCTAAATTAATATAAATGTTATTAAGAAGACCAGAATATTTGGTTTTAGTTTGATAGCTTCCTTTATTAGTTTTTCAAATTATTGAAATTCACGGATAATAAAAATTAAATATATGTATAATTATAGGTTCGTCCATCTACCATTGTATTTTTCTTTCTTGGCTTTATATATAAGTTTTGTTACTTGTTTCATTTTGTCTTTCAGTGGTCGTTGAACTCATTATAAACGTGACTATGTGAGATAGACGACAACGTTCAATGTATGATTCTGACTTTAGTATTTTCATATTCTTGTAGTTTTAGTTAAACTCACTATACATGTGCGAGAAATGGTTTAGGAGGTTGGTGTATCACTGATATGTTTCGTTAACTATATAATTCAACAACATCGTTTTCAATCTTCTTACACTTGAATACTGTAGAAGGATGTTATAATTTTTTCTTTTTAACATACTCCTAACTGGTATGTTTCTTATGGGGGAAGACTATTTCTCATACAACTATTACGAAAGGAAGATTGTGATATCAGTTAATCTTCCAATTTTATTAGCATAAAAGTTAAATTGTATCTAATTGCACAAAACCACAACCGAGCCACAACAACCCATCCAATTCCTTCTATACAAACCGGAAATTATATAGAAAAAAAGAAATACAAAAAAATAGTTTCCTCTTTCGTTTGTTTGTTTGGTTTAAAATGGTTCCTCTGTAAATAAAATGCTTAATACAAAAGAGGTACCTTTTTTTCTTGCTGCTCACGTTTCTGTCTTGAATCGACAGTATAATAACTTCATGTTTAAATGATTAGGTTGATTTTTGCAAAGTTAGAAGTCACCTAGTAGGTCTAGAGCTCGAGCTTCGAACAGTCACACCATGCAAGAACTTGGCATAGCCCAAGAAATTTAGCTTCCCATCCAAACTCCGGATCCAATCCTTGAGCAGAGGATAAGCATTGGGTCCCAAACTCATCTCCTACATATTCAACAATAAAACAAGATTCATGCAAAAGAGTTTTTCACAGATCTCAAAGAATTTATTGGAAGTCCCTACATACCTCAGCGAGTTCTTGGACAGAAATGGCACGGCTTCCTTCACGTTCAAAGTCGTCAAATGCTATTGTTGCGATCTGTTCCCATTCTTCAAGAGCCTCTAGTTGATAAACGCTGACTGCAGCCGCACAGAACTCTTCAAAATCAAGTTTCTTATGTGCTAAAGGTTGCATCTTCAATCAACAAAAAGGAAAAAAAGAAGAAAAGATTATCACAGATATAATTATGCAGAGACTAGAAAACGCTGGGATTCAAAAGATGGATGTGTTAGCCCTTACAAAGTTTAAAATATCAGGAAGCCTAGATTCGATCATAGCATCTGTAGCATATCTTGTCAAAGCCTGCATTTTTATTACCACAAGAGTTTGAATAACTAATCAGAGATCAGAAGAATGTTGGATTCACCAGTTGAAGAACAATCGCATCTAAAGCATTTAAACTCACTGACCGTTGTGAAATTGTGAAGATACAGGCCTCCATCTTCTGGTTCCAAGAGCATAAACTGTGCTTTAAGGAACACAAGTTCCTCTTCGGGTATAGCTTTGGATAGAGACTGTGGTACAAGTGATAGCGAAATAAAGATATATACAAGACATAGATATGTTGTTGCTCTTGACAAGATCTTAAGAGACTTGACCAACGAATGGATCTGATCAATAAACAAAGATATTATCAGACAATCACCTTAAGTGCTGCTCGTCTGAAAGGCGAAGCACGAATATAAGACTTCACCAATTTGTAGATGGAGAAATCCAAAAGCAAACCAGGATTTTCATCTCGTAACCATGGATGAGCTGCACATATGTAAGTCATACTCATGTTTTCATTTCACCGATCAATGTCTCTAGTTTTTAACACTACTGAGAAAGAACTTACCTAAAGCTTGAGCAGCTGTCATTCTTTTCCTATGGTCTTTGTTCAAAAGCCTTTTCACAAAGTCCTTGGCAATAGGGGATATGGAAGGCCATGGCAAATCTTCGAAATTAGGGTTCGCTCTAAGCACACAACGGAAAATCGCAGACTCGGTTCGTCCGTAGAAAGGTCTACTTCCACAGAGTAATATGTAAGATATGACACCAATGCTCCATATATCTGCTTCTGTGCTGTAAGATCTGTGGAGTACTTCAGGTGCAACATAGTATGCACTTCCTACCACATCGTTTAGACGCTGATCTGATTAAGATCAACACAAAACACATTTTTTTTCCTTTGTCAGTTCCTAAGTAATATCATATAAGAAAGGGGAACAAAGAAATAGATCATTACCGAATCTAGCGAAATCAGACAAACCAAAATCTATGACCTTGAGTATTGCATCCTCGTTTTTGCTGGTAAAGAGAAAATTCTGGATACACAGAGCATATGATTTGTTTTAAGAAGCAAGCAAGAGCTAGTGTATGATATTCACGGTGGTTGAAGCTGAATGTGTACCTCCGGCTTGAGATCTCGGTGCACAACACCTTGAAGATGGAAAAAAGCAGTTGCAGATAGAATCTGCACAAGAATACGCTTAGCATCTGCTTCAGGGTATCGACCACCTCTGCAGTAAGATATAGACAGTACAAGATTATACTCCATACGCAATACAAAGCTGAGAAGAAAAAAAAAAACAGAGAAAGGAACAGTTTTTGTTCACCTCGCCAAAATTCTGTCCAATAGCTCTCCACCTTCACATAACCTGAAATCAAAATTGGGTGTCAAAATTGAATATCAATAGCTGAAGTCAATTCAATGTCCTATACTTACTCATACCACTGGTACATTAACAAACTCTAATGTTCATTTCTATAAATCTGAACACAATTGTGATAAGAGACATACTTACTCCATAACAACAAAGACATTATCGGCGTCCTCGAATACATCGTAGAATTTAACCATATGCCTATGCCCAGACAAAGCTTTCAGCAATTTCACCTCTCGACGAACATCTTCTATAGATAGAGCTGATGTCATCTGAAATGCCAAATTACCCATCAACAAAAGATCTGATCTTTAGATTCTCCCACGTCACAAAAAACTACTATCAATAACAATTACCATCAATCATGGATTCATGGGCAAACTTGCACTCAAATGAGAATTATTCCTAGATTAAAAAAAGTGATTCTTTTTAGATGAAACAGTAACCATTCTATGATTTTGGGATCACATTGTCCACAGTTACAGCTTAAACATGTCAAGACAGAGAGAGAGAGAAAGACCTTAGCTTTAGCGATGATTTTGACTGCTACGGTTTGCCCTTTGATCTTCCCTTTCTTCGATTTGGCCCAACAAGTATGACCAAAATGCCCTCGACCCACCTCCTTCCCGAGCTCGTACTTGCCTTCGAAGTTCTTCGCGAATCCGAAGTTCTTATCTAGCCTATCCCCGATTCCGCCTCCGCTTCCGCCGGCTCTGCCGTGATCGACTTCCTCAATATCCTCAGGGATCGGACCATCTCGAGGCTGCGGTGCCGTGCCTCGTCGCCGTCTCAGAGCCGCCATAATCGGTTTCGCAGGCGAAGGAGGCGGGAAAGGCCATTTAAACTTCCTACCCGGAGTTCTCGCCGGAGACGGAGCTACTCCCGCCGGCAACGGGCTCTGAAATGGACTGATTGTGTAAGGGTTGACTTCGGAAGCACTAGACGCAGCCGGAGAATTGGGAATTGAAGTCTGGTGGTTGTTGTTATTAGCCCGATTCGGAAACTGGGCGGTTCCGGCGGGCATGTCGCCGTCGTCATCTTCGACGGTGGAAATGTTCCGGCTGTAACAATGACCCATCGTTGCCGGAACGTTGGGGTCAAATTAAGTTGATCGGTAAAAAAAAGTCAAAGCATCGGACGGTGAGGAGACCAAGTTGAATAATAAGCTTCAGAGATTAACAAGAAGGGGAAAAAAAATGTTTGAAAGACCAAAAGGAAAAAAAAAAAACAAGGCGATGATTAATAAAAAATAATTAAAGAAAAATAACGAATCGGAGGCGTTGAAAAATGCCGGTGGTTTGCTAAAACGACAGCGGGGGAAACGTGACTCCTACGACAGCCACGTGAGCGTTGTGACGTGTGACATTAATGATTTCATTTCTGTGGTTTTATCTGGCCATTTTTGGCTGATATTAACTTTTAATTGCATAGTAACTAACGGAAAATTCAAAAATTATTTTACATCTTGGTATTATCGAAATTAAAAGTAAAGAACATTCAGGATTTAAATTCAAAATCATATGAATGAATGATTTTGACAGTTTTGAAAAAATGGATCGGCTATCTTTATATAGGTCACAGTCATTCGTACATGCTAAACGCGAAAAACAAAATAAATACGGTTCTAATCAACCGTCTAATAAACCGGTTTGAATCCATTTAAGAAATTGGACGTTAAAATATGTTTGACATCGAATTAGTCACGTTGTTGTAAGTTGTAACATTGAATAAGTCTATATTGATAACTGTGGCGCAGATAAGAAAAAGAAATAACGAAAAAAATCATGGGTCAATACATTTATAACACAAATATTGAGCGTCAATCGATTAAATCGGCTTCCCATAACCGATCCGGTTAATTTAGTACTGAAAATCCTCGTGAGCATTCGCTCTCTTGTCAAACCAAAAATAATCATGGGATTGTGGATTATCTTTGTGAAATGACAACCGTTTTCTAACCAGTTTCAATCTTGGTTCGTTTCCATCTAAACCGCCCGGGTTGGATCTCAGCCTTGGTACGCTTTGGGGTCGAAACCTAGCCACGGCTGAGGCAGTGGTAGACATGTAATTAGGTATTGAATGGACTTGCCTTGTGACGCACGAATTCCCACGTGGTGTTTGGTCGTTGAATTGATGGTGGTGTGAGTACGTATTATACGTATCGATCTCAACTATCTTGACCGGTTCAACGATAGCCTGATCGGTTGATATTCTCCTTCCGGTTTCTAGATAACCAAACCGGTTTAACCTACTCGGTCTTTTGTCCTCTAATTCGTTTTCACTATGTGCTTCTCTCGCTGTGGTTCTCCACATCTTTGTTTGTTAGACCCCCAAAAAAAAAATAACGGTTTGCCTATCAATATTTATAAGTAAATTTGGAAAACCGGAATAAGTATAATAAATATTGTATATGGTTGATTGAAATTGAACCTGTTTAGAGAAGGCACGAGACAAGGCAGATTCGTCGCCGGGAAAGGCCGTGAGATTTTTCCGGTGATCTAAAACCCGAGCCTGGATCCGAACCAAAGCCTGAACCCGAAGAAATGTAATGCTTGCTCGTCTACGTACGTTAAGGCCTCTCACTAGGGCTTGTAGTATCACAACTCCTTTTAGGGCCCTGAACGCCTTTCGTGCCTTGTGTTACAAGTCAACATATTCAAACTGAGGTTCGTCTATGTAAACTGAATTTGACAATTTTATCATAAATAGACCTCAATGAGGATTATATAAAATTATAAAAACCTTGTTTAAATTTTTCAAGTATGTGTGGTGACCAATTCTTAAAAGTTAAAACTAAGCTATCAGACAAACAGCAAATGCTAAAAGTTTAGAGGATAGAATTAATAAATATTGAATTTTTTTTTTTTAATTTTGCTAAAGTGTGTAAATATTAATTTTACCAAGCATCCTCGGAAAGCTGTCTGAATGAGAATAGCAGCCACGTGTTTTTTCAGGTAAACAGATGTCCGACAGAAAAAGACGGCTTCCTTAGCAGCCGGAGATGCAGCTTTCCCCGTCTCCTCCGTCGCAGCCGCGTCAACAGCGGCAGAGTTCGTGTTGCCGGCATTTTTAGTGTTTATTCCGACGTCAGTCGCAGAAGTATCAGAAGAGGCTTTCTTGAATAGCCATCTTCTTTTTCCTCTCTTCTGCACCAACCAAACTATTATTAATTAATAATAAACTTTTTTAGTATGAAAGATATAAATAACCAAATTTTAAACAGTTTATAAAAGAAAATTCAGTTCATCAAAAACCAGCTTTTGAAGCTGGATTTTTATTGTATTAAACTTGAAGGGGGGGGGGGTAGTTTTTTGGGAATATGTTGAATAAATACATGTAAATATATTAGTGTATAAATATATAATGTATATAGTTTGAATGACGATTAAAAAATCAAGAAAGGTAACTATAGTCAAGTGTGTATACCGTTTGTTGCTGTTGTTCGTCTTCGTCTTCTTCGACGAGGTCTTTGCCTTGTCGATGATCTCTTCTTCTGGGGCATTTCTTCTCCGGTGACCGGAAAACATTCTTAACCGCCGTGAACCACGAACTTTCACCGGTTTTCCCCATCAAGATCGACCTTGTCTGCTTAATCTATGTTAATTATACTGTCACTTTGTTGAAGATATACGGAAGACACTGATATTGTTATTAATAGTACATGTAAGGAATGGTTTGGTCGAGAAGAAACACTCTCCTTTAGAAGAACAAGGACCTTTTTGTTTCCCAATATTAATTTAGAAAGTTCGGAACATGTACATTTAATTGGTTACGTCAAATTCAATAAGTTATTCAAACTCGGATCGATATTAATTTTTGTTTAATATCTGGTCGGATTTAATTAGTACTGTACGTCTCGTCCAAAACATTACTTACTTCAGTATTTCTACAATAAGAACAAATATTATATTGTCATCTACATGTTCGGTACGTAACCATCACAACTCACAAGTAACGGTCAAACGCAAAACGATATCCAATAAACATATAATGCTTTGAATCCGGAAAAGCAAGAAAAATGTTGGAATAAGAAGAATAACGAAGCGGAAAATAAAAGTAAAATATTAGATATAAAAAGATAAAGAAGAAAACGAGTGGAATAGGTAGGCATGCTTTGTGTTTACAAATTAGATAGCTTTGTGTCAGAATTATAAAAATGATTTGCAACATGAAAGGATGTGAAATGCATCTCTCGAGAGTGCAGAAAGCTGTTCCTTCTTTTCTTTCGTATAATCATTTCTTTAGCCATTAACATCGCTACTTGGCTCGTTTATAATGATTTTATGTTTTCACTGCTTTAGCTTCGATTGTTTGGGATAGTGATTGCGTTACACCATAAAGAGAGAGGTATAACTAAACTCACGATACGAGACTTCTAATGAATTTGCGTTACACATATAGTAGTACTTTCTTTCTCTATAACTAATAGTAAATTAATCAATATGATGCGGAAGATCTAATGAATCCTTAGAAACAAAAATATATATAAAGAACAAGAAAATCAAACTAGATCCGAATTCAGTCAAGAACCGACTGAGATCAAGAACCAAAAGACCAGTGAATTGCTCCAAATGTCTTAAATTAATTCATAAAAAATAATATCCGAAAGGGTATTTCAACAATAACAACAACAAAAGAAAAAGAAAGAAACAACCAATCTTTTGTTTTTGGCGACTCTAGAGAAAGGAGAAAGTTTAGACCAAAGTTCTTAAAGTTGTTCAAAGATACCCGGGCAGGCTCTGCGACTGCGAAGCAAACTTAAAAAAAGAAAACTAAAAGATTGATATATAAACACAAAACGCCTCAAGTACCTTCTTCTTTAGACTTCTTCTTCTTCTTCTTCTTCTTCTTCTTCTGCTTTCTCTCTCTTTTTCTACATAAGTTTTTCCGATTTCCGGCGAGAGTTTTGCGATAATATTAGTTGCACTCAGCACGGGGAAACTGCGGCCTCACTGGTGTCTTTGATGGGCTTACCCTTAAAAAACACACATAAACCAAGACACAGATGAATACAAGATTCCCAGATTCAATTATTAATCTTATCATGGAAATATATGTAACATACACCGAGAAAGATATTACATTTTATGCAAATGAACCATAAATAGAATTAAGTTAAGAACAAGCCAAGTCGAGAATCTAACATCTTCTTCTAGTTTGATCATTTAGTAACTCCTAAAACTACAAGTTCTACAATGTAAAAATTGACACTAAGGGATAGAATGAAAAGCTAAAACTAGAAGATGAGAAAAAAAGAAGATTATTTTACCTTATTGGGAGTGCACCCAAGACAACACCACTGCAGTGAAGAGCAGCAATTGCACTTTCCGCCTGAGACAACACAGCAAAGTATTAAACTTTGGACCCTTTTACGTAGAACTTCATATTTTAAGTTTATGTATCTAACTCTTGAGATTCAAAGAAGCTCAGAGAGTCAGAGACAATCTTTAAAAAGTAAGAAGCTCTATGAAATGCAATATATCAAGTTGTAAGCGCTAGTCCCGGTTTCTTAAAATGCATTAAATGGGCATGCAATGTAATGCAAATAGTAGAATCTTAACTAGCAAACTATTCAATCACCAAAGCTAATGTTCAAAATGGGAACACGTTAACTGAAAAACTTGGCAGAGAGAATTACCATCGCAAACTCAACAAAAGCAATGCGGGTTTGGTGGTGATAGTCTCCAAGCCTCAGACGATGAACCTATACATTATATAAAAAATATTAAATTCTATAGCGGAAAACAAAAATACACATATAAAGCGTAAACAATCCATTGCATTCAAATACTAACCTCTCCACAAAGCATTTCAAAGAAGCCTTTCAAGTCAATTTGAGTAATCTGCAAATTTAAGAAACAAAGACACAGATGAAAGTTGGTTTCTCCAAACAAGATCTCATAAAGCAAATGGTAAAATGGAAACCAAATTACCCGCTTGTCAATGTTGGTACAGTAAACAGTCCTCACGCACATCTCGCGCTCATCCTCAGACTGGAAGAAAGAAATCACCATTATGCTCGAGGTTTGATTAAACTGATTTAAAATAGAAGCCAAGTTTTTAGCCATGATTATGTGAAACTTACCCGCGGAAGGAAAGTAGGGTTAACAGGTGCAATAGCAGTTTTGGAAGGAAGCACCTTAAGAGGGTAAAAACCAAGCACCGTTCCCGACATGCTCAAAGCAGCCCTAGCTCCCTCTGCAGCAACGTTGCTTGATTAGTTAAGAAGCAGTAATGAAAAATGAGAACTCAACTAATGAAGAAAGGTTGACGCTAAAAGCACCTTCATTAGTGAATTCAATGAAAGCGAAACGAAGGACAGAATTTGGGTCACCGCATACACGACAATCAACAACCTTTCAATCCCGGAAAAAACAAAGTAATCATATGAGGAAACGAGTTAATGCAGATAATAAAAAAAAAAACAGTTTAAATATAGTAAAGATCATTACATGTCCACAATTAACAAAGACACCTGCAAGATTCTCCTCAGTAACCTACAAATGAAACAATTAAGAGAGGCAGTGGTTATAAAATAGATTCCTTTACGAGATAATAGTATCGGATGCCAACAATTTTCCCTTTTTAAACCTGTTGATCGATGTCGGAAACATATACAGTTCTCCTGATTACATCTTCCTTTTGAGCCGAGCTGGTTCTTTTGTTCACTCTTCTCTTCCCCTGGCCAAAGTTCCTTCTCTGTAGTAAGCGGTAAAACGAGAAACACAAAAATTACAAAATTGATATCCAATAGACAGGACAGTTTTGCACATTTTCTTTACGCGTATCTAGCAGATAATAAGACAATGTCAAGCCATTTGAAGAACAGTAAATGAGTAAATAAGCAAAATCCAACAGAAAACAACTATAATGTAACAAATCACACACAACGTCAAACTGCTTCTCAAACAATGATCAAGCGATAGAGTCAAAGAACACGAAAAAGAACACGTAAAGCTCGAAACTTTCCGTTGTCTGTTTGCTATATTAATCAACATACGAGCTTTTTCAATCAACAAACAAGCCACTGAATCATAGTGAGCAAAACACACACAGAAGCTCGAAATTTTGTATCACCGATTCTCTACTACATTTCACTGTATCATCAAAATCCAAGAGAGGATAAGATAGATACAAAGATCAAATTCACACACTAATCAAAATGATTATATACTCAGCAACCAGACAACAAACGAAGAACCCCATCTAAACATAGCAAAACACATACTTTCTATCCACACAGCAAAACACCACAAAACACAGAGAACAAAATTCAGCGAGAATGTTTAAGGATGAGGATATATATATACCCTTCTAGCAAAATTGTCATTCCCATCTGCGAGAACAGGTTGGGATGCAAAATTGTTATTAAACCCTAGTCCATTTCTCAAAACCCCAGATTGACTTCGAGCCAGTGAAGGAGGAACAAATTCCTTAGCCATCGGATTGAGCTTAGAAAACGCATCAGACAAGTTTTTGATCTCACTCTTGAGACTCCCTCCATTGTTTTCTATCTCACCATTCTCCGATTTCGACCCGAAACCATTTCTGTTAAACCCATTTGGGGTCTGACCCTTTTTGGCAGACTCATTGGTCCGATCGTCGGAATCTAAAGCCGAATCGCTGGTTGGAGGATTCGATGAATCGAGAGAGGAATCAGATTTAGGGCTCTGATCATCAGGACATGGCGGCTTCGTCTCGGCTGCTGAAGAATCAGTGTTGTTGTTGTTGTTGTCTAAATTCTGACCAGAAGAGTCCACTTTCACACCAGCATTTTCAGCGACTGCCATGATCGGACCAAAGAGGAGAATCTCCAAAAGATCAGAAACAAGTTACGAACTCGCCGATTTCTGCATCAAACCAAAACCAAACTGAAAATTGGAAAGAGAATTTGAGAAGGATAAGAATGTAAGAAACTAAAAGCCCAGAGAGAGAGGAGAGAGATCATGGATTGATACGAAACTTGAGACTTATCTCGATCAATGGTATTCCATAAATGGAGAAAACCCAACTTAAAAAGATCAATTGAGCAGAAGAGCGACTGAAACAAAGAAAAAAAAAAGGATTTTTAAAGAAAAAAAATATTTAGAGAAAGTCAGAAAGATAAAAAAGGGAACACTTGGAAAAATCCAAGGGGATGATTAAAATAGAAGGAACATAAGACCCTTTAGTTATAAATTAAATAACTTACTATATACTTTTCTTTCTTGCTCATAATTAACTGTACTAGTTAGTTTTTTTTTGTTTTTTTGCTTCAAGACAGATGTATTTTTTGGGGTTTCCGTAAATGATGTTTTTTAATTCTGTGCGTTTGCACAGAAATATTTTGTTTTTATTTTTAATATAAATTTTTATTTATTTTTTGTTTAGATATAATTTATTTTGTTATTTATTTATTTTTTAAATCAAGAAATTTGTTATTATATTTTGATTTTAAATAATATAGATTTATATATTAATAAAATAAGAGTATCAATTAATTAAATATATATCGATCTAATGTTAATTATGAACTTTATTTTTATGTGAATTTAAATTTACACATAAATAATATATATATATATTTTTAATTTTTTTCTAATATTATTATGATCATAATAATGATAAAATAATTTTAATCCAGTCATTCTATTAATCGAAAAATAAATATTATTATAAAAACATATTTATAATTCAATCATTCTATTAATCCGAAAATGAATATGGTTATAAAACTATAATTTCTGTCCATTCATATTACTATATAATATAAATATCTATTAATTTTGAAATAATTTTTATTTTAATATCTTGCATATTTTGATAACTTAACCCGCATAAGACCGTAATTATAAAAAAATCTAACACATTCCATCAAATTATAATATATTATTAATATTTATCAGTTTTCAATATATGAAATTTTAGTCTGATTGAATATGATTAAAAAATACAATAAAGAATTCATTAATCATATGTGTTATTCTGAAAATATTTTTTGAATTTTAAATTTTAAATTAAATGAACTTATATTTAAGGAAGTCTAAAGTAATTTAAATTAATATCTATTATTCAGAATTAGATTTAATTACAAAATTAATAAGTTTGAATTTTAAATTAATATAACTTATAATTAAGGAAATCTTTAAATATCTAAACTAATATCTAATTTTCCGAATTAAATTTATATACAAAAGAAAATATGTTTTTAAAATAATATTGTAAAAAATTAGGATAATTTTAAAACTGTTTACAAACAATTTTTTTTTTTAAAATTAGGAGTGTTTGGAAGCAAGTACTAAAAATGCTTCTGTTTTAATAGAATAGATATACTTAATTTTCCTGTGTTTATTTGAAAAGTTTCTACGGTCACAAATATTATATAAAATTTATCATAATTACAAACTTGACAGTGATGATGAATTATATCATATATATTAAATTTAATTTCGTGAAATTAATTTGTATTTTTTTTGTATAAACTCAAAATAAATTTGGAAAATTGCATCAAATAACCACAAAACAAACTATATAACCATATTAAAAGCATGGTTAGACTATTCTATGTATTTTATATAATATGACAATGCTTACTCTTAACCAATCACAATCATTTATCATCTTTCTTCCCTTTCTCATCTTTCTCTTTCTTCTTTGTTTTATTTTTTTCATTCCCCTTTTATCTTATATGCTTTGAATCTTAAAAAAAAAAAAATTAAAATTCATGATATCACTAAAAAAATATAGATTTTTTCAGGTATATTCCATAATTTGAATTTTTATAAACAGACAAAAATTATTTTTAATAATATACATCTAAAGAATATTAAAACAATCTTACATAGATTGATACTATAATAGTATTGAAGACATTCTATATTTTATAGAATGTCTATTTTTTGTAATTTTATTTTTGACAAAAAATTAGATAAAAATGACAATATGCATCAAATATTTATGTGAAATTCTTACTATATTTATTTATAATCCCTTATAGTACTCATCTCCTCTCTCAGTCTATTATACTTATCATATACTATTATACAAAAAAAAATTATTGTTAACAACGTAAATATCTGTAATTTTTATTTCAGATCCCGATATGTAGTACTGTTTTAGGAGTTAGTCTATATAAAAACATATAGATTGTCTATACTAACTTACGTATATTCTACGTGCGACAAGATTCTCTCTTCTTTAGACCACTATATTTGAATAAAACGTTTATTTTTTGTTTTAATATGAGACAATAATTTTTATGTGTGTATAGAATGTTTATTTTTTTGCAATTGAGTAGTTTAACTGAGTCGTTTTTCTTTTTTTTTTTTTATTTTTTTTTTTGAAAATTGTATAAAAACATTTATTTTGTATAAAACGTCTATTTTGTATAAAAGCTCCCTTTATTCTATGATATTTTGTCGTAAATATTCATAAGGGCATTTTTGTCATAATAGCATCTAAATTGTTACTTTTATTAAGACAATTGCATGGATATTTTCTTCACTGGTTATTAAAAATTGGTTATTAACTTAACTGTCCCAATAAAGTTACAGGTGGAGGGTTTTTTTGTTCTTTTTTTAAAGCAGAAAAATCTAATTTTATATATCATGAATATTTTTTTTTACTTTATATTTATAAGAAGAGAAATTAAATCAAAAGCCCTAAAAAAATTTAAGACTATGGAATAGCCCTCATTCACGAAGGGGACTGATTTAGCATTCATTAAAGTGATAATTTATTAGGAGATTGATTGAATTCATTTCAAATCACCGGAGATTTCATTTGACCCTATCACGATTTCCAAATTCACGCGAAGACGATACAATTCTGATTTCATTTGACCCGATCACGATTCAAAATTCCGGCGAAGAGGATACAATTCTTCTGATTATCCTAAAGCTGGAGATTAAAGAGATTGTCGCGAGAGATCCTGGTTTGTTTCAACGACTAATTCTTCTGAAGCGAAGGAATCGATTTCACACTAGAGAGAATCGTAGATTCTGGTGAGAAGCAAAGGAATCGATTTCAACTCACCGGCGATTGAGAGATTTCTTATTCGCATATCATTGTCGATTCACATCGTCGATTCACATCTTTCATCATATCTGATTAAGCTCAACGACGAATATCTCAGGTACGTAGATTCACATCTACCATTCACATATACATCGACGATTCACATCTTTTTTCGATTCACATATTTCATCTGTCATTGTATCTGTTCGACTACTGCTTGTGTTTTGGATTGACAGATTTCTTTTAGTTTCAGAGTTGCAAAATGGTGAGAATGTGTGTTAGGAGAAAATGTACCATCGATTGAGAGATTTCACATCTATAATAATCATCATTGGCGAATTTCTCAGGTACCTAGTCTTCAGTTATCGCAGGTACCAAATTAAAGGATCTCTTTAGTTTCAAAGAGAAAATGCTGAGAATGTGTGATTATGCAGAGTTATTTTTAGGAAGAGAACTAATTTGGTATTCTCAGGAAGGATTTTCTAATAGACACATGAACTGAAATTCCTGGTTTTTTCTTGTTTGATAGGCTTTATTAAACAAAATATGGTTGAAGTTTTTGTGTCTGTGGAGATTGGAAGAGAAATGAGAAGCATGGATGGGATTTTGAGATGGATTCAAACGAAGGGTCGACAATTTTTGAGTTTGATGAGCATCTTAAACTCAAGGATTTAGTTGAGATGGTTCATGATGATTTAGGGATCGATTTCAAAACTGTTATTGCAGTTAGCTATGAAGCTCTCATGAAGATGAGGTTGGTGGTCCAGAATTGTCCACCCCTGTTTTAAAAGAATGATTGCCAACTGAGGAGTTACATCAACTTAATTAAAATATCATCTGAAGTGATTCCTTTATATAAAACTGTGAATGAAGATTCACTTACACATGGAATTCAACAAGTAATATAGGATTCTTAAGTCGTTTTTCTGTTCTCCAAGTGAAATCATTGCTGATTCTTATCATTTAGGCAGTCATTCCTAAACATTTGCATATTTTTATATCTTTTTGTAGGCAATTCATGGATCAAATATTTCAAATTTCACCCAACTCACACAATTTTCAGGAACTGCACATGCTGTTTCATTTAATCATAAAAATCAACAGGTAATGCTGGCATGTATAATTAGTGTTTTCATGGTTCAGGCGAAATCATGGTTGTTATCTTGTAATTTAGATAAACCTTCCTAAATACCTTATTAGTAATCATAAATAATTCCTAAGTCTATTGCATCATTTCTTTCTTTGTGTAGCTACTTCAAGGATCACTTCATCATCTGTGGCAAACAAAAAAACATGTTCCGGTGCTGATACTTTATGTCTTGCTTCAAATCTTCACCTTTCTCATATCGACATTTCAAATTCCACCCAACACCCACAGTTGTCTGCAACTGCACCTATTGTTTCTCATCTCAATGTATCATTAAATCAAGGAAATAAACAGGTAATGCAGGCATGTATGATTAGTGTTTGCACAGTTCAATCGAAATCATGGCTGTTATCTAGTAATTTAGATAGGCCTTTCTAAATAACTTATTAGTATTCCTAAATACTTCCTAAAAGCTCTTGCATCATTTCTTTCTTTGTGTAGCTACTTCAGGGATCAAATGGGGACGACATTTCAACATGTTCTGCTATTGATGTTTTGCGTTCTGCTCCAGATCTTCCTCCTCCTAATATAGGCATGGCACATTCCTCTCTATTCATTTATATGTTAACAAACATTTCAAGAACAAAGACGAGTTGATGCTGCAAATGAGAAAATGGGCATTGGATTGGAAGTTTGAATTCAGATCAGCCTAGTCAAACAAGACAAGGGGGTGTTAAGATGTGTTGACCCTAATTGCACTTGGAGGATGCGTGCAACAAAGCTCCCTTCTTCTGATTACTTTGTAGTGAAGACTTATGTAAGCGAACATAACTGTGATACAACTCATAGGAATGCCAACCATAGGTAAGCAACTGCCAAGGTATTTGGAACTCTGATCTGCAGCAATTATGGAGAAAAAAGTATGGTCTTAACCCGATATAAATCATGGAGCAATTCAGACTCGACTATGGTGTACACATTGGATACAAACAAGCTTAGAGAGTTAAAAATTTTGCTCATGATTTGATCATAGGGACTCCTTAGGATAGCTATCAAAACCTCTCGAAGTGGTTGTTTAAAGTTAATGAGAAAAACATTGGATCAAAGGTTTATCTTAAGATGGATCCAAATGGAAAAAATTAAAATACAGCTTGTTGCTTTTGGTCAATCGATAAGAGGATTTGAGCTGATTAAAAGAATAATTGTTGTGGATGGTACTTTTCTTAAACAAAAATTTAAGGAAACATTGTTTAGAGCTAGTACACAAGATGAAGATTATTCATTGTATCCGCTTGCGTTTGGGATAGTTGACTCTAAAAACGAATATGCGTGAACCTGGTTTTTTAACGGACTTCAGACCTTGATCCCTGATGCGTCTGATTTGGTCTTTGTTTCAGATAGAGCTCATGTCATTATAAAGGCACTTTCATTGGTTTATCCGCTTGCACATCATGGTATTTGCAGAATTCATTTGTTGAGGAATATAACACCAAAGTTTGGGATAACTGGTTTGTTGCCGCTTGTAGAAGCTGCAGCTGACGCTTACACTCGTCATGAGTTCATTGGCATCTTCAATGATATAAGGAGCAGAAGCCCCAAATTAGCTGCATATTTGGAAAAATTTGATTTTGCAAAGTGGGCTCGCTAATTATGCACCTTTAAACAGGTAAGTACAATGTTTAAGCAGCTATGACTGATTTTAGGAATGTTATCCTAAATTGTTGCTCAGTCTTTTATAACTTGTGGTCTTGTTTGTACCAACATTGCGGAGTCTCTCTATAAGACCATTAGGTTAACTCTCACAACATGGTTTCATGAACGGCGGGAAAAAATTCTTAAACACAAAAAGCTCGTCACACCACGCGTAGTGAAGATGATGTTAGAGAGATACAATGCTGCAATGAAACTTGATGTTTTCCAAGTAGATCAATATGATTTTGACGTAAATGACGAGACTCGGAAGTACATTGTTCATCTAGAAAACAAGCAGTGAATTTGTCTCGTTATTGACATCGACAAAATCCTCTGTGTCCATGCTATTGCTACAGCTAAGCATACAAATAAGGATGAGAACAAGTATGTGGATCAAATCTACTTGATGGAAACCTGGGCTAAAGCACATGCTGAGAACATTCACTCATGTGGAGATTTAACAAATTGTGATTTTCCAGATTTTGTACAAGTATATTCATGTGCACCATATACTTAAGCAAATGAGTGGGAGAACTTCGACAAAGAGAAAAAGTTAGGTGGAGAATTTGGTGTACCCGATTCAAAATCCCAGTGACACTAATGTAGCAGATGCAACGTTAGAGGACACAATAGGAGTACATGGAGATCATCTTTATGAATGTTTTCAACTGTTATAGGAAGACATTACATCATTTTTAGCAAGTTGATTGCTTCTTCATTGGTTTTAGAATTATACCATAAGTATTTAGGAATAATTTCATAAATACATATATTCAAACACTTGTAAAAGTGCATGCCTTGTTTATGATTTCTTTGAACTTTCTATAGGTGATGAGATTATTGATTCATTAGACTTGAAGATGTTTTACAAAGCTTAAGGTTTGACAGTTAAACAAAAAAAGATTAAGAGTTTGAGAGAAATGAAAGATTCAAACTTTATTATTTTTGCGACGAACAGAAGCATTATAATGCTGCTAGAGATCGATGTCTTTGCTTATCTAGTTGCATCTTTAATTGTAGTGAAGCATATCAACAAAACTTTCAAAGCCGCAACAGAGAAGCCTCAAAATTGCATAATTCATCTCTTTAAAGCTTGCTTATCAAGCATCGCTAATCTTTATCACATACTTCTTTCATTTTCCTAGGAGCTCAAAAATTTGAGCCATGGAGAGACTAATCAGACTTCAAATATCTATTCCTTTTGGTTTAAGGTAGAAAAGTAATAGTAATCAGACGAAGGCAGAACATAACAAAGATCTCGCATCAATCATGTCTGAAACATAAAATACTGTACTAGAAAAATGAGGATTCAAAAGCAAAAAACAAGGGAGTTTAGTAACATATTCAACAAAGTCAGATTGCAAATACAAATGATCTATCTACCTGTTTGTCTCGAGCCTTTTTGGTATTCCATACCCCTAGAAGCGAAAGAGTTCCAAACATAGAAGCTTTTGTGCAATCTGCAACAAAGAATGCTCAGTAATATTCAAGTACACATGTTCCTCCAGCATTTATCAATGGCAACATTGATCTTCTTCGGTTTACAGATCTCTGGAACAATCATCGCCCAAGTGGAAGCTTTTGGTGTTAGATACTTACTCAGCATTACTTCCACAATCTTACATGCACCTGATACTCTCTGACGCTTTAAGAGCCTCACAACAAGCTCCTCTAGAAAACTTTTCCCTTCTTCACAAGAATCTGATTTCTTGCTCAAAGTTTTCAAAAATGTGTCACATGTAATGGCATCGGGATCACAACCTCTATCCAACATACAGTTCAAGAGATCAACTGCTCTAGAGATATCCTTCTGCATACAAAAACCATCAATAATTATATTATAAGTAACAACATCAGGTTGTGACTTGTGATCCTCTTGGCATAGCATTTCATGGTAAAGTCTTATTGCCGCATCCATTGAGCCAATACCACAAAAACCTTTAATCATTGAACTATACGCTACCGTATCAGGTTTGATCCCGATAATGAGCATTTTTGACCAAACCATCATAGCCTCCTTAACCCTCCCAACACCGCAAAGACCATCAATTAGAACACTATAACAAACCTTATTTCGAGAGCATTCGGTATTATCCATCTCTCTCCACACTTGAATCGCTTCTTCACTAAGACCAGTTTTGAAGAATCCTTTCATCAAAGAACTATACGTATACACATTAGGCAAGCAGCCATTACTTATCATTATATCAAATATTTCTTTAGCTTCTTTTGTTTTTCCTTGGCGGCATAAACCATCAACAAGAGCACTGTACACAACAATATTGGGCTGGCAACCTTTCTCCCCCATTTTCTTCCACAAAGACATAGCTTCCTCAACTTTTCCCTCTTTGAACAACCCACTTATAAGGATCGAATAAACATGCTGATTCAAACGATACCCTCTTTCTTCCATAGAGATCAGTAACCCAGCCCCATCCATTGCTCGTCTTTGCTTAACCAACCCATTAATGAGAGTTCCGTATGTGACATCATTTGGGATGCATTTGCTCGACACCATCCGCTCTAAAAGGCTAACAGCTTTATCCAACTTACCCTTGAGACATAGACCATGAATAAGCGTATTATAAGTCACCTTATTAGGAACACATCCCTTGAGAAACATATTATCCACAAGCTTTGTCACCCGCGTCAAATCCCCTTTCTTGCATAACCCATCAATCAACACATTATATGTAACCGAACTCGGTGAGCAACCCTCGCTCTGCATCTCGTCCAACAGTAAAACTGCTTCATCGATCCTCTCTTCCTTACACAACCCATCCATCAACGTACAATATGTATACCCATCAGGCACACACTTTTTTTCAGGCATTACCCTGAAAACCTCAATAGCTCGATCCACAAATCCCAACTTGCACATAGCCTTGATGACCAGGTTAAAACTCAACCCGTTTGGAGCAATGTTCATGTTCGAATTCACAACATAATCATAAAACTCCAATCCTCGATGATAACGACCCTCGTTTATAATCACATTCAGCACAGAGTTAAAGGACTTAATAGTACGTTTACACTGAAACTCATCAACCATCCTATGAAACAATTCAATAGTTTTCTCAGGTAAATGTGCTTTCCCATAAGCCCTAAATAGAACGATGAAACTATGCTCTCTAATCATTCTGTTCTCTAGTCTAATTCGGCTCAAAAGCTTCTCTACCGATGCGAAATCACCCGAATTGGCATAATTCTCAATCATTGAAGACAAAGTGGAATCACCCAGCTTGTAAGAACCCATCTTGGGAGCCGATTCGAACATCTTTTCTGATATGGGAGCCGCTGATGGATTCTCCGTGTGTTGCTGCTCGGTTTCCATGGATGGCTTCGGAGAAACTGAAACGGAAGAAGAGAAGCAAAGAAGATGAATAGAGAGCTTAACTGGGTTGCTCGAAAGGATTCGACTTTTGTTGAGGAAGTAGCTGAAGAAGCTGATACGGATTGGGAATGGGCATTTGGTTATGAACTTGGAGGGTTTTTGCTTAAACCCTTGTTTGGGGATTCTGACCGTTTGTTGTTGTCGCGAGAGGGAAACCACTTCTCTCACGAATCTACCGAACATAAAATTTGTCTTATGAAGACCAACCCCACTTCAGTTAATGGTTATCTGGCGCACTTAGAAAATTCGTGATTATTTTGGCTAGATTTTGTGTTTGAGATAGATCTTTATTGGGTTTTGCTTTAGTTAGAATTATTTGGGCCCAATATATTTGAGGCCTGTATTAAAAATAGTCGGTTTCTTAAGATCGGTGATTTTAATAAAAAATCGGAGACTTGTTAATATATAGGGCCCAATTACACGCTCTACTGGAGTGGATCGCGCGCAGAATTCGATATGGGTCCTCAACTTTACAAGAAGTTATTAATTACACAGAGGATGAAGACTCTTATTTATAGTGCAGCTTCCCCTTCTCCATTATCCAAGTTTGTCGATGTGGGACAATTATTCAATGTGAAAAGAAGAAAAAGTCATTCAATTATTTTGGTAAGACGCGAGACGAATTTGTCTTTGATAAGTGTGTCATCTGCAGATTAATTGATAAGTCAATGGTAAACTGTGTTGACTATTTGTTTTGGTAGATTTAATCAAACTTAAATGGCAAAACTTATCAAAATTATTTCGACATGCGAACTCTTTTTAAAGAAAATGAAACTTACTCCTTTATTTTCTTCTAAGCATATAATATGTGTAAAATTTGCTTCTGAGTGAAAAGTCTTACCAATACAATATTTTGCTCAATCAATAAGAATTTGATTTTTTTTTATTTAACAAAAAACACTTTGCTTTGATTTCTTAATGATGTATCAGAATGAATTATGATAACAACATTCACATATAGAGTTAAAAACGTCTTCTAATTAACTAAAACTAGATTCTAACCCCGTGCATCCGCACGAAAATATTTTTTATTGTTTAACGAATTTTGTAATATAATTTGTGTTTTTGAGTTTAGATATAATTATTTTTATAAATATTTTTTAATAAGTGAAAATATTGATTTTTGTGTTTAGATATATTTTTATAATATTAAAATTAATTATGATTATAAAAATATAATTTTAACCCGTCCGCTAATATTAATGCAAAATAAATTATTATAAAAACATAATTTTAACTTTTCCGTTCATATTACCGTATAATATAAATATTTGTTAAAAGTTTGAGATGTATTAACAGTATTATTTAGCATTATAGTTTTCTAAAATTTAATCAACGAAGGGAGTGTACAACTGGTTTTTCAAACCACATTATAGTGTATGCAATAATTTTTAAATTTTATGTTTTTATTTTGTATGAAAAATATATTTTCAATATATATGTATAATTCAAAATTAGTGATTTTAGTTACCAAAATATTTTTAACCCGATTTTTATATATATTTTTAGTTCTATGATTTTTTTAAAAAATATATTTTTAATATTTAAATTATACATTTGAATTTTACCTATTATTTTATTATTAATTTGTAAATAAATCATAATCGTAAATATATTATTTAAGCAACATAAATATCATATTATTTACATCATTATAAATATTTTATATTTCAAATATGGCCATTATTTTTTATATGTGAATTTTTTTTTCAAAAATTCTAGATATTTTTGATAAAAATGTTTAATAGTATAGAAATTATTTAAATTAGAATCTTTAAATCAAATCTAAATTAATATCTGATTTATTATTTTTAATCAAATCAAATCAAATCTAAATTACCTATATTTAAGGAACTCTAAAAATATTTAAATTAATAACTAATTTTCGAAATTAAATATAAATAATTATTAAAATTAGTTTAAAATACTTAAAAAAAAATTAGGAGTGTTTGGAAGCAGGTACTAAATGTGCTTTTGTTTTAATATAATAGATTGATTCAAATGACATATCACAAGAAAACATAAGTATAGAATACAAAAGATGTTTTAAATATGTTGAATTATATTTATGCCTAATAGTTTAGAATAAGTTTATCACTATAACTAAATTTCAATTTCAAAATATATAAAAACAAAATTCACAAATCCCCTAGGCAGAGTGTTTCTTTTTTCTTAACATGGGCACAGCCCTGTTCTTGCCACTTTACCATTACAAGTTTAGGTTAATGTATGGTATAAGATTGGTGATTAGATTCACCATTAAAAAAAAATGTGTAATATATAAATTTGAAGAGTACACAAACAATAATTTAAATTTAGTCCATTATAAGTTATCACACAGGTGAAGCAGAGAGCAGAAACTCCGGCTGTCTTCTCTGCAATAGAATTCCACAGAAGAGGCAGAATGGTTTCAAGGCAACTTTGCTAAAGCAAGATTCCGGAAGCGATTTGAGATCAGTCGGGAAAGAAGGCAATGCAAATAAGCTCTCTGGAGCGAGTTCTAAAGTCATTCGGTTGCAGCATTTGCAGAACCATAAAGGGATTGGTGGACATACTTGCATTGAGACACAACACCTCTCAAGCTTGTGTCTTTGATCGCATCTACCTTTCTCTTTGCTCTTCTTGTTTTGGTGTGGAGATTGGCAAAAGGCTTCTTCTGGTGATTGGAAATGGATTGGCGCCGCGCAATAAGGACATTCCTCTTCCTCCATGGCTTCCTCTGTGCTGTTACTTGATCTGTGATGAATTAGAAACATATCAGATATGAATTAAAACATTACAGTATCTATTACCAAGGGAAGACACATGAGCTAATTACCTTGTTAGACTAGATTTTACTTCCAAGGAAAGTGTTACGAGCTGATTACAGACAATATCGTGATTTATCTCAACCCATTGTTGTAACTGAGCCAATCCCGCTGGACGCCAATTCGCAGTGGAAGGAGAATCTACACCTACAGATAAATCGGTGGTTAGATAAGCCGAGAAACTGAGACCAACCAGTCTTTCCCGGAGTTCTCTTTCGCTTTCCTCGAGCAGTTTGAGCCACAGATCAACCTCTTCTTCATTGTTCGTTCTCTGACATTGAAGTTTTCTGTTGATTTCCTCCGTTTTGAGCTCTGATAACATTACACGTCTGGCGATTACGTTGAGAATGTGTAGCAGCCTGGAAGGAACAGCAGAGAAGCGTTTGGAGATCTTTGGCACAAGATCTTCCATGGGAATATCAGCATGAAATCCAAGGTATGACATAGATAGCCATTTGGTTATTACCAATTCAACAAACTCCGGCATTGATTGTTTGAACGCCAACATTGCAGCAATCATATCCCAGAGAACCAGAGGCTTGTTCGAATCTTTGAATTCTTTCAACGACCAGAGCAAATTAGATTCCCAGTATGCAAATTCGTTCTTGGAGAATCCAAGAATAGCTTCGGTTATCGTCTCTGAAGAATCTTCAGACTCACCGGATTGTTGTGCGCCATTCCAGAGGAATTCTATAGCAGCCTTCTGCGACCTGAAGAAAAGTAGGGAACAAACAGTCAAGATTTACAATGAGCAAGATAGAGAAGACAGAGAAACGTTTCTCAATGACAATTACCTGGCTTGGTACATCGGATCCAATAGTTCTACATTAAACCTGCGGACCTGCAAAATTCCACGAGGCGTCTCAGTTTTCTAATTCTGAAAAACGTGATAACTTACAACCACAGCAAAACACGATTGTTGGGAACATCATACCATAGCAACAGCGAGGTTTCCAGGGGACAATGCAACACCAAGACATGACAGGAAATCATCAGGAAACTGCACAAGTTTATTTTTTCAGTTTATGTCAAGTTTATAAGAGAAACAAAGAGGCAAGATTAAAAACATCATATAGTGACGTACATCAGTCGTGCTACTGAGACCAGGAGTGTTTGCCAGAATTGGCACTTCAGAGATGGTATTCTCACCTAAAATCCAGTTTCGGAGATAATTATCCTGGCATATTTTAAAAGACTTAATTACTGCCTAAGAAGAATATGAAAATAGTTAATTAGATCATAATGTAGTTCATTGCTAAGTGTGTGGCTCAAAAGACGACTACTACAAACGTTGGTCTTGCAGGGGAAGGAATATAATACCTGGCTGCAACTGTACAAACAACGGCCATCATATGACCAAGCTAAGCCCGTAACCTAAAAGAAATTGACAAATTTATCAATAATCAACCAGTTTATTGCATTGTATGTATAACATTATTTATAACAAAATGATAAAGACTTACCACTTGGACATGAGCCATAGGTGAAGCAATTTGTTTAAACTTTCTGGTAGATATATCACACTTCCATACTTCAAAGGAACCAGATCCTTTGCCAATTGCCAAGTGCATGACATTAGAATGATTGTTTACAACAAATGAAAGCGTTGAAACCGGAACAGGATTCACCGTTACAACCTATGAAAATGTCAAAACACAAAACTCTTGATGTTATCTTGATGAAATCAGCCTTACACATTTGAATAGATTGCAATTAAAAAGAAAAAGGGACAGAACCTGATAGTTTTATAAACAAGGAAATAGAAAAAAAAAAATTGAGATGGTTAAAACGTTCAAAAAGCACAAGGATCTAGTGATCTACAGACACAGAATGGAATATGAACCCAACTTTAGTTACTGAAAAACCTAAAAAAGGGATCACAATTAAACTTCAGTATGGTCCCATCAACTCAGAAATCACAAAAAGCTATAACCAATCTGTTCCTAATCAGAATATCAGAGTAGAACACATAGATAAGCGATAAAAAATATTTACCTGTTTCAACAGAAAAAATGAAGATTTATAGATCTCAACAGATTTTTGCAAGTCTTCTTTGTTGCTTATCCAAATTTTTACGCTGAAAAGTATAGAAAGATATGTATAAAGAGGGATTCCATTGAGAAGCATATGCAAATGAATGGACATGAAAATGGTTTATTTCCATGAGAGAGAGTTTCAAAGAATTTATAACACTTATCCAATTACAGAAGACCCTTTTTTTTTTTGTGGTTTACAAATACCATATTTTCTTGTAATATAACACTAACTTACCTACCATCACAGCTCCCAGTAACCAACACCACTTGCGGATTCGAAGAATCGCAGCCAAAAATTCCCCAACTCAACGTTGAAACCCATGAGCTATGAGCCTGAATTATAGCAGTAAGTTCCACGATGGGTGATACATTGCTACGTTCAATGTGATAGCATTCTGGTGCATGAACTTTCCATATGGAAACACTACCAGACTTTGAACCAATTGCCAAAAGAGAGAATCTTAACATATTCTCACAAGAAGAACCTTCTGATGAGAATGTTAGTAGAGAGGACCAGGCGACAGAAAGAGCGGATAATAATGCCTCACGAGAAACATACTTGTCTGGACTTATCTCTGGACTGATATTTTTTGGTTCTTTAGGCAAAGAGTGACAATTATGGGCATTGCTTGGCTGTTCATATGCTTCAATCTCAAGTACCTACGAGCATAATGAATCAAATTAGATACGAGTACAATACGAAAATTTGATTCTTACTAGATGACACTTGAGACTGAGTCAGTGTGTAAGATATTCTAAGAACCATGTGGTGTGAACAATGCATAAAAGGATCCAGATGAGTTCAAAAGCATGAAAAGATTCAAAATGCATCAAATCCATGGCGAAACAACATAAATCCACGCACATTTAATACTGAAAAAAATGGAGTTTCAAGATATTTATATTTGATGAAACGACTTTAATTCCTATTAATACTAGTTCTAGCAAAAACAGAGTTTCCACCAAAGCAAAGGATACGATTCAACGTGCAGGAAAACAGTTAAAATCAAAAAACATACTTCTGAAAATACCAAAAGAGAGTAACAGAAATAAGTTTGAGGAATCAAGATTGAGATTTTCCAAAGCAATAAACACAGACACAAAGCTAGTGAAGAGAAATGAGGCACTACATTATTCACCGTTTGACTGTCTTGCTTGGAACATGATGCTCGAACTGTAATACTCGTTTCATGCAAGCTGCTAGATTTAGTGACAGATTAAAGTAAGTTAGTAAAGTGATCAAAGCAGAAAAAAAATAATGTCAAACCAAAGTAGTATGAACCTGCAAAAAATTAAGAGCGAAAAAGAAAAAAAAAATGATCCGTACTTGTTGTTTACGCTCGTTCTTCTTCGCTTGCGTGCCTTCGGAATGGAATTCCTTTCATCCTCTTCATGGTCATGTTGTACCACTTGATCCTGTGACAAAAGAGCATCTATCAATGCAATGACTAGTTTCTTGGATCGAAATATTATGCATGACCAGTTAACGATAAAAAATGAGATATATAATAACAATTGCATCAAATAACTGTTTTCCGTCAAGAAAGGATACCAAAAGATTTTAACGATTTGTTAAAGATGAATCCTTATATAAATGTAAGGTGAAAACACGAATTACAAAACCATCTCCACAACCCTTATGGGAGGATCACAGACACAGTTTGGGGAATAAGTAAACTGTACTTCATGATTAAAAAAAAAATTCGACTGAAATTAAGAAGATACAAGTTACCTTAGATAATGACGTAGAAGGACTGTTGGGCTCTCCAAAGTTCATGCTTGACAGATTCTCATAAAGCATATCAGATACATCAACAATCTGCGAAAGGGAGAAAGAAACTGTAAATGCATAATTTATTTATAAAAAAGGCAAAAGAAAAGTTATGATTTGACCTCTATCCACTCCGCACAGTAATCAGAATATGGAGGTCGGTAAAGCTTAACCCTTCCTTCCGCTGTGCAAACAGCCAGTAAGCACCTAAACAGAGTTTTATGAATCACCAAATTAGTAGAAAAAAATAAAAAATGAAAAATGAACAAGTTTGCAGAAACTATATGAAGCATAATACCCGTGGTTTGGAGACATTCCTATTTCGGACCATGAGAGCGATCGAACACAGGGACCTCTTTCCCGCTTCAAGCTCGAAGGCAAGAGTCCACCAGTCAGCAAATCTGCAAGCGCAGAAGAATGTAATCCGAAACTCTGAATTGATAGCAAACAAAGAAGCAGGTTTGAAATACACAAATGCATGGAGAAAAGAGTCTTCTTGTGGCAAAATATTGAAATTTCATCTGCAAATCTCTTAGCAAACAGTACTTTGACAAAAATAAAACCAGGATTTTCGAACTTTGTTCTGTATTTTCAACAACAGTACACCAAATTCTGTAAATTTGGCGTCAAAGAATCAATCAGCACTTAGATTCCAACTTTTCAAAATACGATCTAAGATATGCAAAAACGAAAATTGAGTTTCTTATTTCGCAGTGAGAAGTGTAACAACAAACCTTGTGAGCGAACAAGGCCAATCTGATAAGGCTCGGCTTTAGGGATTGCGATCAATCCACGAGGTCCAGAAAGGAGACGCCGGATTCTGACAAATGAAAAGTCGCGTCAATACATTCTAAGAGACTCAAAATTCAAACCTCAAAACAAAGCAGAAAACTCACAAGGATTATGACGAGGTGGCCAGCGGCGACGGCGATCAGATTCTCCGATGACCAAGCGACGGCGTTGGGATACGATGGCGAAGAAACCAGTGGAGCTTCCTGGAACCGCGACGCCATCGTTTTTTTCCGGTCACCGTTTAAACGGCAGAAAGTAAGAAGCGACTTCACGGAATTAGCTAACGATCAAAATTCTGAAGAATCAACTGAATTTTGGAGGGAAAACTTGCTTTGACAACGAACTGGGTGGCGATTTTGATTCAGGTACGGAAACCCTAGTTCGAATCGCGGCGACGCAGATGGGATCCTCAATTTTTTTAACTTTTTATTTCTTTCCCGAGATTTTATACAAGTCAACGTGCTCGCTCGTGGGTACATTATCGTCTTTTTTATTTCTTTGGTGATTTATAAACACGGTGTTTGCTGTTGCGATAAGCCCAAATATGTAAAACTTTTTAAAAAATCAAGGGTTTTTGAAGCCGTGAAAAATATTCGCCGTCGCCGATGTCGGGAAAATAGAAGAACTTTGAAGCTTATCTTCCTCTTCTCCTTTTTTCCGGTAAGTTCGAATCTCGGAATTAGAATGTGTTCCCATTTTTCAAATTTTCCTTTTCGGCACAGCCAAACACATTGATGAAGCTCATACAAGTGAATTCAATTGGAATGTGGATATATCTTATAATCCATCGTGATGCAATGGCTACAAAACACATCGGATTAATTTTCCTTGCTTATTTGTAATTTACAGCAAAGAGTAATTGGGGAAAGAAACAATGGGAATCATAGAACAAGGAACAATCTCAGGTACCTTGCCAAGCAAGGAGGCGTTTGCAGTTCACTTCCCTGGTTACCCATCATCTATTTCCCGCGCCATCGAGACTCTCGGAGGAATCCAAGGAATTACAGAAGTATTTCTCTTGATTTGGCCTTTAAAAGACTCTAATTTTGGGCTGGAATTGTCTTTATATGCTAGTTATTACAATGAGTCTGTTGTGTATATGCTGAATTTAGTCTTGTAACACACAAAATTTCAGATTCCAAATATTTGTATGACTCGTTCATTTATGAGTTGATGTTGATTAGTGACAAGCTTATGCTTAAGATTTGGACGATTTTTCAGTTTTGAGTCTTTTTGCTTTTTTGGGTAGGCAAGAGGATCAATTTCAAACAAGCTTGAGCTGCGTTTCCGGCCTGAAGATCCTTATGCACATCCTGCATTGGGGGAACAACGTCCTTGCAATGGGTTTTTGTTGAAAATTTCTAAGCAGGATATCCAGAAACCTGAAAGTCAACCTGCAGTTCTTGCCTCTACTGATGCATCTTTGGAGGAAGCTAGTCCAGCTCTATGTGCGGACATTGTAGCTCGTGTGTCTGAATCATTTCACTTCGATGGTAATAGCGTAGCTCTCCTCTTGCGCATCTGAATTTGGTCTTCTACATGAGAATTGACTTGGTAGTGTTTGAAAATTTTCTCCTCTTATTCATTGTCTAGGCATGGCTGACTATCAGCATGTTATTCCTATTCACGCGGATATTGCGCGGCAGAAAAAGAGAAAATGGATGGAGATGGATTCCCTTGCAGGTGATTCATTTGTATATTCTAGTTGTCATTCTATTGCTGATTTCTGGTGTCATCGTCTAAAGTATATATATGATATCTGCAGGAAACAGTGATTTGATGGACCTGGCTGATGAAGATATAATGATGTTATTGCCACAGTTCTTTGCACCCAAAGATATGCCAGACAACTTGGCGTAAGATTACACTGCCTTCTTCGATTTCTTCCAATTTTTCTCTCTCTTCTTCGGTGACATAAGCGTTCACTTAGTTTTAGAATATATTAGTTACAGGGGAAAGAACGTTAGTTGATTGAAGTCGCAACAGTTAAAGTAAAACGATTCCAATTTTCTTGTGTGATTACAGGTTGAAACCCCCGGCAACATCTGGTCCCAAAAAGAAAGATGATGCGGCAACTCATAACTTTTACGAGGTAAAGAAATGGAACTATCCGAATGCTCTAAATAAACCAAACACAGACTGCTGGTTAACGCAACAAAATAGAAAATAGACTGTGGAGAACAAAAATGACTTTAATCATTTGATCTTTATCAATAAGACAAGCCATTATTGTCTAAATGTCTAGTGTAAATCATTCTGGTTGAGAGTTTTAATTAAGTGTCATGGTTAAGTTTTGGCACTTTCTTGATGGGTTGGCATTCTAAACCAACCTGCATTTGAACTTCGGGTGCTACGAGGTGGATCATATATTAGAGGGTTGGCATGATAGTCGTTAGTTCACAAAAGGTATACCTGAATCCTCCAAATGCAATAGTAAAAACATGTAACAACTCTCGGTTTTACTCTTATGAACCATCAATAGCATGCTATTTGGTCTGTTCACTTTTGGAATGCAAAGATGCTATGGCAGCTTACTTATAGTTTATTCTCAGCTTCTACTTTTCCATTTGCTTATTGATCTTTCTCTTGCTATTTTCTTTATTACGCAGATTGATATTGGCCCAGTATTTGCAATTGATTTTAGCGTCAAAGATATCCTTTCTTCTTACTTTAATTCTTATTTGACATCTTCTCATCTGGATTCCGCGAGTAGAAAGAGCAGTGTTTGTTTGGTCTATCCTTAACTATCATACAGATCCCAAAGAAACTAAACTGGGAAGACTTTGTTGCTCCCAGCTCCCCGCACTGGCAATGGCAGGTATCAGTGTCTGCATTGTTTGAAGAGCGGCCTATTTGGACAAGAGATTCTGTAGTTCAACGATTACTTGATAAAGGTCTTAAGTGTACACATCATATGTTAAACAGGTCAGACAGCTTTTTTAACTCGGGATTCTTATACAGAGGTGTTTGTAGCACTACGTTGATCAACTTGGTGTGTTCTCTGTAGGTATCTGCTCAGGGCTGCGTATTATTTCTCCAGTGGTCCGTTTCTTAGGTTCTGGATTAAAAGAGGCTATGATCCACGGAATGATCCTGAGTCTCGTGTGTGAGTTCTATTTTAAGAAATAGAGTTTTACATATATTTTTATCGTATGGTCGGCACATTTGTTAGGTGAAATGGTATTCTGACCTATATCTACATTGTATAATTGTGTTTCAGATATCAGAGAATGGAATTTAGGGTTCCACCTGAATTACGGAGTTATTGCGATGCAAATGCAACTAACACGTAAGTCTTTTTCTATTCTGGGGTGAACTCTTCCTACTTACATGACACAGCCATTTCCTGGAGATCCAAACATGAATACTCTATAGAATTTTAAGATTATTGTTGCAGGATTGTCTCGCAGATTTAGCTTGATCTGTTGAAAAATTTGCAAATGAACCAGTGGGTTTACTCCGGAAAGTTTGTTTATATGTTTTTCTTTTCTTTGCTACAGCTCAAAGCCAAGCTGGAACGACATTTGTGCTTTCAAGTTATTTCCTTTTAAATGCCAGACATTTCTGCAGTTGTTTGAACTTGACGACGAGTACATCCGACGAGAGATAAGAAAGCCTCCCAAGCGGACTACTTGTCACGTGAGTTCTCAGCTTAGCTTTTGTTCATATAGTTATACATGTGCACCAACAAATAAAATTTGGCAAGTCCTGAAACTCTATGCTCTTTTTCGTGTTTTTGTTTGCAGCACAAAACAGGATGGTTCTCAGAAGCCATGCTTGATACTTTGAGACTTCGTGTAGCTGTGTTGTTTGTGTCAGTGTTTCCTGAGCCAGGCTTCGAAGATTTATTTAAATCCATTCAAGAAGAGTTTGAGAGGTCAGAGAAAATTCAAATCCAGAAAGAGACACATAAACCATCTCCACTGAAGCGCCGGGAGGCAACTAAAGGTAAGATCATCAGCAAAGTTTTGTTTTCATCTCTTGCCTTCGTGTTGGTAAAAAGCACTTTTTGGAGTTCATCAAAACTTTGATAGAAACCCGGTGGCCTCAGAAACTAAGTGAAATTGACTGGTCATACTGCTCTAGGAGTACGTACAAAAATTTATATAGAAATGTGTGTATGAGGAAATTTGAAATGAGGTAAACATTATCTGGATACATAAAATGTGTTTATGATTATTATCGCTAGTCGTTGATCATGTTTTAATTGAAGAGAAACAGCTACTGAACAATAGTTTAACCTGCAGACTCTGAAGACATGCAAAAGTGTAAAAGCGCAAACGAAGAAGAGGTTGATGTTAATGTTAATGAGGATGTAGATGTTGAAGACCTGGATGAAGAAGACGAAGAAGAAGAAGAACTCGATATGGTAATATACTGTAAAGAGAATTTCTATTGTTTTCTCATCCGCTAGGATTCACCTTTTCTGTGTTCTTCTTCTGCCTTCTTTTGCAGGCTGCAGGGAACAAGGAGATATCTCTTGATTCCCATGGATGTATCCTTCATAGTTTAGCCTTTTTGTTGAATTTTGGGAACTACGACTCAGAATTTAAAGCTTTGCCTTTGGTTCTAACACCTTTTTTGACTCGGTGTTTCTTTAGATTTTCCTATACGATTAAAAGATCTTGATACTGAGAACAGCTCCAGAACGTATCTTCAAGGTTTGTTCGATAGTTTTCCAGCGAGTGGGCCTGGTTTGTATGGAGACTTTGCTGTTGATGATGGGAGTGATGGGGAGTTTCAGATATACGAAGAAGAATCTGAGGGTTTGTATTCTATCGATGATAATGATGACGAAGATGAAGAAGAAGACGATGATGATGAGTAAAGATCAATTCACACCGCTGGTACTCTTTCTTCTCTTTATTCATAAACTTGATCAATTTGACTAAGCCCCAACTTCAAGAAAAAACTTCTTTACAGTGGAATGATTGAAAACCACAATTTTTGGGAATTTACAACTCATCTTGAGCATTTTAGTGTGTCAAATTTCTACGTGATTAGTTTTGCTGATATTATTATTCTCGTGATTGGTTGTTTTCACAGAGTTTTTTGTTATTTCTCTTGTGATGTTTCAGGTAAAGTAGGCTTTGTTCTAATGAATCTTCGTCCAGAAAATGACTTCACCAGGCCTGAGTACCATACATAGCAATACAGTTATATACAACTTGTTTTTTGGTTTCTCAGAAATAAGTATATGGTTTCCACTTTCTACACCTCATTTTTGAAATCTGATTACAGAAAATTAATTGTTATTTTCACAAAAGAGAAAACAATTGTAACCATTACACATTCAATATCTTTAAAAGGCACTTAGTTCTTCACTACTGCTCAAATGTTGCCTGGCGTCTGTGAACAGAGGAAAATAATTGTTTTTGATTTGTTTTTTAGAGCGACAGGCTGAGCAGCCATAATCTGGTAAAAAAAGTTCAAAAAAGTCATAACTCTAATAAAGAATTTTATTTTGATTTTTTTTATTAAGGAAAAACATGGAAAATCCTTCATTCTCCTTATTTATTGGGAAAAATACCAAAAAATACCTCATTTATTTAATTTTTGGAAGAATCACCCATGAACTTTTAGCGTTGTCAGAAATCCATCTAAACTATTTTTGTGATGCATAAAAATACATAAATTTTTAAAAATTCTATTTTCCTCTCTTTGATATCACGGCCGTTAACGGACATAACAGAATCAATAAACAGCGTTAATTTTTTGTAGGAAAAAATGCTAAAAAATACCCCAACTATTTAATTTTGCCAGAAACCCACACAAACTTTTTGTATTGCCAGAAATCTACACATGCTATTTTTAAATCTATAAAAATACCCAAACTTTTTAAAGCTTTATTTTCCCTCCTCAAGTTTCACGGTCATTATAGACATAACAGAATCGAAAAACTGCGTTAATTTTCCATAACATGTGTTAATTACTGTCAAATTAATACCATTATTATCTTTAAAAAGAAAAACCTAAATTCTAATTTTTTTTCTCTCACTATTTCAGAATTTGAGTGAAATCGGTTGAAAATGTGGTTAATAGAGCAATAAATCATATTTAGAACATATACATCATCTCCTCGAATTGTTCTTATTAGTCTTATATATCACAACACACAC